ACCTCAAAACAAAATCCTGCAATTCCTATTCGCAAACGAGAAGACTTCCAATTTCCAAATTCCAATTCCAATTCCAACCCGGGTAGCTAGGGAATTGGAATAGAAAAAGGACTCTTCTGGCATTAACGAAAAAGCAGTGTCTTGTTTGCGTAACACCACCGATCCACGTTACTGCATTCGAAACCCTCGACTATATATACAAACTGTCCACAATTATTAACCCCTCTCTCGCTCTCACCACTTGGCTGCGTCTCTCTCCTACGCGCTCGAACCCATTCAGATTCGATCTTTCTCCCGAGAGAGATATTCCGCAGCTATGTTGGTTTATCAGGACCTGCTAACCGGTAACTTTCTCTAAATCTTTTGATTTCGATTTGATTGTCTTTTTTATATCTGGGTTTGATTGATTTTAGTGTTTTATGCTGTGTTTTGATTAGATCTGTCGATAAAACTTGGTTTTTGATTGATGGGTTTTGATTATTATGCCTTGATTTGATTATGATTGAATAAATTTTAGAACTTTTGAGGCAGTTTATTTTGGGAAATTTTATTTTTGCTGTTCCTTAATCTGTCTTATATTGTTATTGTGTTCAATCTATGTAGAGAAACCATCAAAAGCCGAATTGGTAGAAGTTAATATCTTATATGTAGGAAAAAAAGAGAGAATTTTTAATTTATGATCTTTTAGTAAATAGCTTTTCTCCTGAAACATGGTGTCTTATTGATTTTGTTCATTTATTCTTATTTCAGGTGATGAGCTCCTTTCTGACTCATTCCCATACAAGGAGCTTTTTAATGGAGTTCTCTGGGAAGTTGAGGGAAAGGTTTGTTTTTCTCTCTTCTTCTTCTTCTTTTTATTCTTTTTATTCTCTTTTTTTTTCAGGTGATGGATAACGTAGAATTTATGGATAACTTTACCATTTTTTTTTGCCTTCATGTAGTGGGTTGTTAAAGGAGCAGTTGATGTTGATATTGGTGCAAATCCCTCTGCTGAAGGTGGCGGGGAGGATGAGGGTGTTGATGATCAGGCTGTGAAGGTGGTTGACATTGTTGATACCTTCAGGCTCCAGGTTTGTCTGTCTTTAAGTTGAAAGGGTTTTAACCAACTTGCCATTTTGGAATGCATTGTTAACACTTCTTCACAATTGCTTGCCTGCAGGAGCAACCTGCTTTTGAAAAGAAGCAGTTTATGGCCTATTGTAAGAAGTTTGTCAAGACATTGACAGATAAGTTGGAGGGTGAGAATCAAGAGAACTTCAAGAAGAACATTGAGGCAGCAGTAAAATTCCTGATTTCAAAGCTCAGTGACCTTCAATTGTGAGTTCTTTGACATTTCATGTCTCTTTTCTTTATGCATTCTTTTTGTGCAAGAACTAAGTATGTATGCTTGTTTTGTCACAGTTTTGTGGGTGAGAGTATGCTTGATGATGGCTGTCTGGTGTTGGCTTACTACAAGGATGGTGCTACTGATCCAACATTTTTGTACTTTGGCCATGCATTGAAGGAGATAAAGTGCTAAGGAAGCAGGGTTGGCATTTGCTATAGTTGAAGTTTTGTTATTGTTTAGTTTTCATTAATGTGCTGTGTGACTTAAGAATCTCGATTTTTGGTTTCAGTTGTGGTTTGGTGTTTATGTGATATTTTAACTCTAATGTGGTTTTAATGATTTGTTTAACATACCAAATAATTTGATTGTTGATCTATTTTACTTTTTAAAATTATAGATTAATATCTGTTTTTAGGTAGAATTTGCATACTCTTAGGAAAGATTATGTTACATTATTTTGAACATTCACAAGGATAAGTTTGCAATGGGCTTGATAACTGGTTTGAGGGTTTTAAATTTTTAAATCATTTTCAAACCAAACCGAACTGAATTTTTTTGGATCAAATTAGGTTTTACAGTTAGTGTAATTCAAACGACATTTGAATGGAGGGTAGGCCTCCTGGTATAGGAGGTTGCCATGCTGCTAATTCACAGATTTGTTGGTACACAGCATGACTTGATGCTGGACAATGCCAAAGTTTTATTAATTTGCAGACAAATGAACCTGTCAACAATAAAGCTATCTACTAATCAAAGAAATCAGCTAGAAAAGAATGAAACGCTAAGGAGGGGATTTAATTTTCCATCCCTGATAGGAAGCCGAGTTCTGCTCAAATCTTCACCTTTGGTTTCTTCACGATCATCACAGTGCACTGAGCATGGTGAGCACAGTAGTCACTTACGCTGCCCAGGACCGCCCTGCATTAGGTGGGATAATTGGGATCAGAAAAACAACATAATATACCACTGCTAGATCTGGTGCCTATCAAACTAGAGTGAGGAATTTTACCTCTTCATAGCTCCATATCCATGGCTTCCAAGAACCAAAATAGTTGCATGGTGTTTATCTACAGCCTCACACGCAACATTTCTAGGATCTCCTTCCATTACTTCAATCCCCAATTCTTTTTCGTTAATCTGCAACAACAACAACCCAACATGATTTCATTTAAGAAAATTCATGATCAAATGGGAGGAAAAAAAATGAAAAAGAAGTAGCATTGCATTGATGAACATTACCCCCTTGCTGATGCATAGGTCTTTGGCCCTGTTCATAATTTTTGTAGCTGTTTTCTTCAAGTCCACCTCTACAATTGGCATAACTTCCGCCGACCCTGCATTAAACGAAGATATAATCATCCAAAATCGAAGAACCCGAGATTACCAAATGAGGGAAAGGGAAGCCTTCCAGGGAGATTTACCGGGGCCGGCGAGGCCAAGAGCGGAGGAGGGTGTGGGTTGACCGTGGATGAGGAGAATCTGAAAAGGTGGGCTGGAGCCAAAAGGAATGATTAAGTGATCCAGAGTCCATTCCAGAGCGTAGAAACTGTGATCGCTCTCGTCCAGGGCAACGAGAATTTTGGGTCTTTCCTCCTGTGCCATGTCCGACGAACAGTGTTCTCTACCAGAGCTCTTTGTTTTTCAGTCTCTTTCTCTTTCACTTGAAACACGAAAAACTGAAGAAAGTTGAAGTCAGGCTAGTTGCTTCGTGGGTTTTTGTAGTTTTTTCGAAGTGGGACTGACAGTTGTGGGCGATGGCGCGTAAACCTGGCGCAGTGGTTGCGGCCATGGACTCGGTTCCGGAAATGAATGGTTGTGAGATGCCCAATTGTCTCTTGCTACTGGGTTTGCCTTTGTTTACAAACACGTAGCATTATTATTAATTACCACTGTATGATTTTTTTTTTTGTTGAGCATACGTGGATGTATTCATTAGTTTAATGTGATGCAACATTTTTTTAATCTTATTTAGTTAGTTTTACAGTCCTAGCACGTAGTTGTAGTAATTAAATTTTTTAGTCTTCTAACAACTTAAAAATATATAAAAATAATGTTGATTTGTCTTATTTTATAAAAATTATAAAGAAAATTATTTTAAAATTATGTAATTTTAACAACCTTTTATTAAAAAAATTAAATACTTTATTTTTAAAGTATGAATTAGATTTTTTTTTTTTTGCATTAACCTCATAATATCCAATAATTACGTTGGATTCCGACTAATTTAAAATCAAGTTGCATCAGACCCTATTAGGGAGGAAACTCTCCCGACACCTGTATCTCCATTCACAAGACTCGAACTCGAGACCTTATTTAAGAGAAACCGAACTCCTTTTACTCGAACTAACATATTATTGGTTTTTAATTTTTTTTCATAATACTTTATTAAAATGATATAATTTTGACATAATTTTCTTTCGAATCTTTAAAAGATAAGATAAATAACCATTAAGCCCTTAATATATTTAATATTTATTTTAATTAATATTTTATATATTTTTAAAATAATAAAAAATATAAAAATTAAAATCCAAAATACTAAGAAATATTCTCAAATGAAACTTTAATCTTTATTTGATTTACTATTTTAAATGTTTATTGTTGATACTCACCATGTAACTATTAAAAAACTACTAAAATATCAATGACTGAATATCTACTATTAACAATGGGCAATTCAAAATAATTAAATGAAAAAAAGGTTATTATCATTATAAACTTATAATTGTTAGTATCTAATTTCATTGACAAGTTCGAAGACAATTGGTGTTAATGAAATACAATTATTTCAATAATTAAAGAACATATAAGATCCCAATTTCCAATTCTCGATCCATGACGACTTGTTGGCATACATAAATCCCCACCAAAAGGAGATAATGATTACAATTAGCAAAACGCAAAGGACACATTAACAAAGAGGGATGCAACAACTTATTTGATGAAGAATTATGAACTTTAATTCAAATTTGTACAACTAATTAGCTGGATATCTCACTCCCATTTATTTGCTTTAAGTTAAAGCAAAGGCTTTATTCAAAAGAAGTGCACTTGAAGTCATGATAGGGTTTGGCCATATTGAAAAGGGATCTTTAGTTTGCCCCCACTTTGAGATCCATCAAACTAAGATTTTTTCTTTCTTCATGTGGCCCACCCATGACCTAAACGATTCACCCTCAAAATTTTACTCTTAATTTTAATTGGGTTTTTTTTTTTTATGGGTTTGTTTAATTTCTACTTCAAGGATAAAAGTTAAAAAAGTTTAAAATTTATTTTATGTATTAATTTATATGAAAAAAAATAAAAAAATTGATATTAATTTTAACATTTATGTCACATGAATATTTATTTATTAGACAATTAATAAAATTAATATCAATTTTTAATTTTACTATATATATTAATGATAAAAAAAATATAATAAATATACACTTATTCTATGTCTTTAAGGCATAGATTAAAAAACCCTTGTTTTAATAATGGACCTCTTATGAATAAATGTCGAATGCTATGATGACTTTTAATACAAGTTCTTCAACATTTTGTAATTAGTAGGATATAAAAGGTTATTATTCTCTAAACGCCTCAATTTTTCTTTGTTTTTTGAATTTCTTTCTCTTTTTAGAAAAGCGAGGAGCGGGGATTAAAGCACAAAATTAGAAAGCCTAAGGAATGTTACATTAGAGAGTTGTTGGAACCTGGAAGTCTAAGGTCTGCTATGCACTCTTTTCGACTTCAACTTGAAATAATTATGGTTTTTTAACTTTAAATTTATTTTAAATTATTATTTTTATTTTTAATGTAGATAATTTTTTTAAATTCAATTTATTACCTATTTACTTTAATTAATAACTATTTTATCACAAAAATATTTATTTATCTTTTAATTTTTTTCTTAAAAATAATATAAATAAATGTATAAGCTACCTCTAAAATTTTAATTTTAAAAAATAAATAAAAACTATAATTATTTAAA